GCTGCGATGCGAAATGGCAGGTTAGAGGCCTCTTTGGACGACTTGCCACACCACTAGCACCATCACTGAGTGTGATTCTAGCGGTGTGGTGGGTGCCCAGAGTTTCAAAGCATCAGCAAACGTACCGAACACACAACAAGCACTGCAGCCCAGAGCAAAAACAAAAAAAAACAGAACAACAAGAGCCACGGTGCATTCAACAGAGAACATCTTAGCACCGGTGTAAGTTGGAGACGCCCAACGCGTACCTTTGGCGCAAGGAGACCCAGGAGCCCAACACCCAACGCACGAGGCTCACNCAGAATGTGAACAAGGCGCGAAGCACAAGTCAGAAACGATGCATTGGATCACGCCACACCCTCTTAGCAGAGGAATCTCATAATTGCACGGCTGCGAGACCTCTGTAGACGAGGCGTAAAAACCTCCGCGTTGGTGAACCGCGCCATCAGCTGAGCGTAGTCACCCTCATGGACGTGGTGAACAGCAACGGACCTCCATGTCACCAACGAACGTTTCCGCCGGCCACGGGCCTCGTGGAAACTACATGATGCAGCTTCAACAGACACTAAAGGTTGGTACTGTAGTTTCATAAGCAGTACTCGCCCCACCATCACATCCTCGTGTTGCACGCTAAGGGAAATAAACTCCTCCTCCCGCTCCTGGCTGTATGACAACTGCATGAGACGGTACAGCGGCTCGTAGGACAAGAGCTGTTCGGCCACATCTCTTGAAAGTGTATAACACATTCCTGCAGCAAATCGAATCTTCAAATGGACACGGTTCCTTTTGAAGTTCCAAACTGTGAACAATCCCCAGTACACCCCTTGGCGTGGCAGTGCCTGCAGGTCGGCCAGGAACTGCGGCACACGCAGGAAGATGTCATCATCACCCTTCGCAATGTAGCTCACACGCGGCAAGAGGCGTAACGCCATCTCAAACCAAAGAAACGTCTTGCGGCTCATACCAACCTCAGCCGCTATGCCCCACCTTCCACGCCCAGTCATCTCCTTGTTCGTAGAGGAGCGTCCCTCGTTCATCGGTAGCGCAATCACATCGTGCCACTCCGCCGCCTCCTGCTTCAGCGCTGCAGAGTACGTGAAGTTGTGCGATGGGTGGCGGCCCATGATGTACAGCACCAGCATAGCACCGGTGAAGTCATTTAATTTTGTCGCAACGTTGGGGAAACGCCAGCACGACGCACGCTGCAGGTAACGGCGCCTCCGCCTCCCTTCGATGTCTGCCGATGGTATGCCGAACACAATCAGGAAGCCACGCTCTGACCACGTGCGCACAACACCCCGTGGAATGTACTGCAGAGACTCCTCGTCAAATGTGGTGTTTGTGCTGCGGGTCTTCTTGGTGGATGGGCTGGTTGACGTCTGCACCACCGTGCCAATCTCGACGCGGTGAAGGCCCACTATTGCCGCCAAGACCACTGAACACACACAGGCGACGAATACACGAAGTGGGTGACGGTGTGCCATGATCACTGTGTCTCTGCAGGTCAAAGGCGAAGAGAGGAAGCACTGAGCATCCCATCACGGGTGGGCCAGTGGAGGTGAATGGGGATCCCCATCAGCACGCGTGAGTGCGGCACAGGACGGTGACACGCAGACCGCGAATTCGTCACGCACACGCAGTCGAGTCTGCAACGACTCAGTGATGGGACTGTGCCTCAGACGCACACCGCAGAAGTGTGAGAAAAACCTACCATCATTGAAGTACTCAGCGCCGTATCAGCGTCCCAAACACCCCCCACAGCACGCAAGACATTGTGTTGCTCAGTGGATAGCCTCACCATACACACACACTCTCTCTTCTGTGGCAGGCGCTCTTCTCGCTTTCCGTGGCGTAGAACCGCATGCAACGGCGAAACGTGGCGCACTATTGTCTGGCGCCCACACTGACAGAGAGGTAAACGCACCCACAGACACACACCCACACCCACCTACAGACACACACCCACACCCACACCCCGACTTGCGGCAGTGCGTTACTGCAGTGAGCGTAATGCAAAGAAGGAATGTGCCAGCCGCACGGCGGTTGTGGCCTCCGTTGTGGTTCGCGGCATGGCGCTCCGCCCACCACAGCAGAGCAGCACAGAACGCAACAGGCCCATATTGCCTCCACACCCTACTAAAACAAGATAGCCACAACAGGAGCGGAATGGGAAAGGAGAGAGATGGACGCACGGTGAGGCGCAAATTCTGAACACACCGCTGCCACATCAGCGGCTGTGGTCTCGCAGTGCCAACATGAGTGTTGTGGCGATACCGCCATAATCCTAAATGCGCAGGGGGAAAGGGAGGAAGAAAGATTCTTTACTGAAAAGGAAAAAAAAACACTTATAACACAAGCGAACGCCCAACCAATATTAAGTGTCTTTTTACAACACTTCGATGCCTATCCCAGCTCAATGGCAAAAAACTCTGACGTGGAAGACACCAAGCGAAGCGCCTTACAGCGTCTCCTGGGCCTATTTCTCCATTTACAGAGGGCTATATATATATATTATCTGTAGGGAAGGGTGAGTCAAAACAAGGGGGTTACCCCCAAACAAGCAAGGGGAGTGAGTAAAGTATTCTACAACAATAAAGGCGCCATCGTCGTCGTAATCGGTCGCGTGCCACATCAATGATACATATATATACATATATATATGTAGTTTCGGCAGCCTCAGATGTACTTCTGCACTGTGGAGTATATAGAGCTACCTGTGCCAAACACAATCGCCACCACACCCGCCAGGAGGAGAAAGTACGTCAGCAGGTACTGCACCNCAAGGGGAGTGAGTAAAGTATTCTACAACAATAAAGGCGCCATCGTCGTCGTAATCGGTCGCGTGCCACATCAATGATACATATATATATGTAGTTTCGGCAGCCTCAGATGTACTTCTGCACTGTGGAGTATATAGAGCTACCTGTGCCAAACACAATCGCCACCACACCCGCCAGGAGGAGAAAGTACGTCAGCAGGTACTGCACCCACCCCACGGACTGGCGTGACCATCCACCAGAGTACATCATGAAAAGCGATGGGAAAACGAAGCCAATGAAACCGCCACAGAATGCCCCCACAAGCCCAAACACAATATTAATGTCCGGGACGAAAAGGCCAAACACGAGCGCGCCAACAGCAAACAAAACACTGAAGATGCTATGCTTCCAGTACGGCATGGCTACCACATCCCAGTGCAAGATCTGGAAGAGTGCAGTTCGGCAAGCCAACATATTCAGCGAAAAGGCAGCACACAATTTGACAATAAGACCAAAGTAACACACAAAGAAAACAGGGGATGCATAAGGATCAAAATATTTCAAAATAGATCCTTCCACCTCGGGCCCAAACTCAGCGTAGCCAAAAAATCCAATTAAAAAGTAAAGGAGGCAGCAAATACCACAACTCAGCGCAGCATCCCGGGTCATGTGTGCCACAGAACGCGACGCCATCTCGTGGTAGATCTTGAAGCAGTTCACCTGGCACAGATACGCAAACATGAAGAGCGAAAGCCCCGAGACGGCGCTGTTGCCCGGGCGCACCATAATGAGATCTGGGCGGAGGCCACCGTCACGTGCGATCTTCTGCGCGGAGTGCACCACGACGCAGAAGACAAAGAACAGTATGAACAGCACACCGATGGCCGAGGCGTAGCGCAGCGAGTTCACATGCTTCGGCAGCACCAGCGGGAACATGAAGAGGATCCAGATGCAGCTCACCAGCACACGCCGCCCGCTGTCTGTTTGCAGGTACTCCGGCACCCCCGCATGAGCGAGGATGGGGCGCAGCACGTCGCCCACCGCCACCACGTAGCCGACCGCCCCACCAAAGCACAACAGCCACATGAGAAACGCCACTGCGTAGTCCGCCCCGCGCCCCAGCAGGCCGCGCGCCATACTCTCAAAGCTGCGGAATCCCGTCCGCTCCGACGCCGAGACGAGAAGCATGATGGAGAACACCGTCAGCGCCGTCACCACCACGAGATACGTCACCGCCATGGCCATGCCGGAGGTGTTGAAGGCGGAGGGGATCGAAATGATGCCGGCGCCGAGCGTCACGCTTGCGAGGTTGAACATGCCGGCCAGCGAGCCGCCGCGGGGCACGATGCGGTTGAAGAAGCGCGCCACGGGATTCCGCGACAGCACGTCGATTGCACTGAGCGAGCCGCTCCCCCCCTCGCTGCCGCCCTTCTCCAGGTCGGAGGACGGCAGCACGTTTTCAAGGGCGCCGAGGGGAAGGGACGCCGCGGCGCCCGACTCCGTCGCTGCTGATGCTGCGTACTCGTTCGTGGGGGACTCCAGAGCCATCCGTGACAAATCGCAGCGGCGCACACAAACAAGGACTACTTTTTCTTCTTCACCTTTATGGCAGCCACTCACCCAGCAACAAAGGGTGGAAAGAAAGAAAGAAAGAAAAAAGAAGAGCACAACTTCAGTCGAGCGTCAACAGGCGCGGCGAACGGCGGCCGACGCTATCAAGAGAGCAGGCCAACGGGTCTTCCACAGAGACACGCACACATCCGTGCCCGCATCGCCACACGGAGACAGGAGGACCCCGTGGTGCAGAATAAATGTCCACCACAGCGATGTAAACAGAGAGGCAAGGGTGCAGCAACCAACAATGAGCCACGCCGGTGCGGCGTATAATAATAACAATAACAATAACATCACACACGTGCAAAACCATATCTGGCAAATAAAGCAATGCGATCTTTGCTTCTTTCTTTGCCCTGCTGAGGTGAGTGGGACTAGATGACGGTTACGCAACAAAGGGGAAAGCACCATTATGCTTCTCACACCTTCATTGCTTCACTTCCACGTTATCTCCCCACAACACGTGCTGCGCCAACATCGCACCCGAAGCCGATCTAACAATCGCACCGCATCCAGGAAGTGGAATACACTCACTTCCATGCAACACCAAAGCCCATGGCACAAATAGCGCCAATCACTGCTCATGATACCCCACAGAACGCCCCTTAACAAGTTCACTGAAAACAAGCCTAGCAAGCGATGAGCGAACATGCATGGCTGACGGCCCCACATCCGCAAAGGCGACGGGTTCTGCAACCTTCCCACCTCCACCGTTTCCAGCAACGGGGAGAAACATGATATATCTCATGCACCCTTGACAAGCATAGGAACAAAGCAAAGAAAATAAGAGTCCTGCCAATGTAACCTCTAGTGCGGCGCGATGAAATAACGACACGCCATCTACACGGCACTCTGCGGTTTGCACTGCGCCGCGGTGTGTGCGAAGAGCAGCACCATCCGCCCCCGGTGGATGAGCCGCTGGTAGAAGAAGAGACCAAAGGGAAAACAAATTCAGTGCGTAATAGAATCGCTCATGCCCACATGTGAACAAGCGATGGAANAGCTCCGAAGGTGTATTGTCTGGCCAGCACACCAAAACAATCTGTGCTGGAGATATGATGTCTTGACAGGCTGCAGGGGGAGGGGCGCTGGAATCGTGACACGCCATCTACACGGCACTCTGCGGTTTGCACTGCGCCGCGGTGTGTGCGAAGAGCAGCACCATCCGCCCCCGGTGGATGAGCCGCTGGTAGAAGAAGAGACCAAAGGGAAAACAAATTCAGTGCGTAATAGAATCGCTCATGCCCACATGTGAACAAGCGATGGAAGACTACACAAAGACGGAGAGAAAAAGTGTTGTGGGTACGAAAACCTTATCGAGAATAAGACGATTAATTTACACAAAACTCTAGCAACTCGCCGCATGGCGTGCAATTGTGACACAAAGACACACTCACACATGATGGCTAGGTAGATTGCTACTTCTACAAAAATGTGACAAAAAAAATTAAATCAGAGCTCCTTGACTTCAACTTCCACGCATGGAAGGACGGTGTCATCGATCTCATCGTCGGAGCGGATGTCAGCCGGTGGCCCCCCAGTGAAAACTTTTATCGCCACCTTCACGATGAGTGTAAACCAGTATACATGCAGTCCCTGCAAGACAACGTG